GAAATTGCTAAAATAGCAATATTCAAGTATTTTTATAAAAGCATTTACATGTAAATATACATGTAAATATTAAAAAAGAAAATCTTACTAGAACAAAGGATTATAACTAGCAAGAAACAAATAATTTCTCGCTTTTTTCTGTTTTCGGTAATGATTGATGTTTGGGAATTATAAAGAATAATTTTGGTAATTAAAAAAGTTCATCAGAGAGGCCTCATAAGGAATAAGTAATGCTAATTATACTATTCACCTATAAAGAAGTAAAAGAAAGAAAAAACGAGAGAACTTATAATAATAATAATAATAATAATGTTAATAATATAAAACAAATATACATTTTAAAAACCTCATTCTACATCACCATCATCACACCTTAAACCCATCAGATTTTTTGAGCATAAAACCTACAGTGCCTAAAATTTGCTTTGAACTCATTGCACTCATCAACAAACCCTTTTACCAAATCATCATAAGCAAATTTTTCACCTTTCTCCCCAATAATACCCTCAGATTCCAATACGTCGCTAAGAACGCAACGTAACGTGTATAGAGTAGAGCAAAAATCTTGACATATGCCTTCACCGACACGACCAGCCCAAGTACCCACCGGACATAATCTTTCTTCACATACAAAATTTGTTAATGATTGATGGGTTGATAGGGTTGACATAAGTTTTGAACAAATTCTTGGATTTATGGATTTTGATAATAATGTTGAACGAACTGAGAAATAGAATAAAAATATTAATTAATTTCGAATAATATAAAGAATCAACATCATATCAACTTTAGTAATTCATATTACATACAAGCATTCATTAAAATTTTTCCACAATCACCTTCCGGATTAAGTACCATATCACCTTCCATAATTTCAAGATAACCACCCGGTTTAACAACTCTACATAATTCTTGAATAACTTTATTTTGCCATTCGTCTTCGGTAAAAGCGGTTAACAGGAATCTCATATATACAAAATCAAAATGATTATCAGGGAATGGTAATCCTTCTAATATGTTTGCATTACGAAATGTTAAATTGCAAGGTTTTATTTCAGAAGGATAGATTGGGGATATGTCTATGCCAGTAAATGATACTCTTGGATAGTCCGTCTAAAATTAAATAACTTGTTAATATATGATGATAATAATGTGATAAAGATAGTAATTAAATAATTAAATTAGAAATATTCGTATTGAAGCTTACCGACATATTTAAAAGCCAAGTGCCCGGACCGCAACTAAATTTGTGAAAAAAAAATCAATGCAAGGCGATAGATTAGATAAAATAAGTTAGAAAGATTATATATATATATATATGTATGTATGTATTATTTATTTATTTACCCGACATCTAGAACTTTGGCACCACCCCGATCTAGTAAGTCACTAACAGGAGACGAATAATTGCCTTGCCATATATAACAGAAAAGGAAATGTTGGATTTGAAGTCTATCAACTAATTATAAAAAAAAAAGAAAATAATAAATTATATAAATTATATTAATTATTAATTATGCCATCTATTATATAATATTTATAACATGCATTAATCGAAAAGTCGAATGTACCTTCTTCATCATCATTTGGTAAAAAGTATTTAGAATTTTCATCATTATGAAACCTTCGTCCATTCGCGTACTTAAAAAGCTCTTTTTTCGTACTTATATCAAACGAAGCTTTGTTATAAGTATTATTATTTGATTTGGAATTTGTGAGACCCATTGGGTTAGATTAACCTATGAATTTTATTAGCACACAGTTTTGTTGGTGAGTTTGATGGCAAGTTGTGATAAAAAATGATGTTCGTAAACTAGTTGGTAAAGGATTTAAAAGGTATTGTAACGAGAAAAATAAAAGGAAAGAATGCGATAAATTATAATTTTAAATAATTCGATGGTTCACGAAACAATAAAAAAAAAAATAATAGCTTTAAGTCACGAATAAAAAAATCATAGAAGGTATTTTTAAAAAAATGATGATTTTTGAAAAAGATGGAACCTTTCGCGAAGGACTTATATTTGTTTTTTTTTTTGAATGATTACTTTACATGATCTCGGATTTATTAATTTTGAGTCAATGGTTCGTGATTTACCCTTACATAATCTCGGATTTACCTGTTTTATGAGTTTGGATCGTAAATTTATTATTTGTTCTTCACCGTTACAAATACCGTTATAATAACCGTTACAGTAGATGGGTAATATAATGTTTATTAAAGTTGGTTACATGCGTATATGTCAATAAATTAGAATTATGTTGTGATTAGTGTTGAGAAACAATGGGGTGGCATCCAAATATGCGCTCAGAAATAAATAAACAAACGAAATATCCATGTTTTTGATTAAGATTTTTCAAGGGGCTTATTATTCTTGGAAATTAAACCTTCACAAGAGTCTTTTCTTATCATTTTGTTTGTTTCTTCATATTTTTTCATATTACAAACAACGGTTTAATTTGATCAAAGTTTAAAACGGTCTCTACGTAATATTTGTTCTCACGAACGCCTCAAGATCTTTGTGATCAATCTAGTGCTACACTAATATTTAGCCAGGACACGTCTGTAGACAAATTTCTTGAGATTTATTCATTATAACAACTAAAAAATGAAAGGGTCCAGTTTGATGTATGCCAAAAAATGTTATTGCATTAACCTCACCCAATCAAATTCGGGTTTAGATGCAACTTCGCCATCGACAAAAAAGACTCGAATGCCGAGCATGATATATGTATGCGCTATTGTAGAATTTGATATGTATTATAGCATATAATATGTATTCTAGAATTTGATATGTACTGTAGAATTTGATATTTATTATAGCATATAATATGTATTCTAGAATTTGATATGTACTGTAGAATTTAATATTTATTATAGCATATAATATGTATTCTAGAATTTGATATGTACTGTAGAATTTAATATTTATTATAGCATATAATATGTATTCTAGAATTTGATATGTACTGTAGAATTTAATATGTATTATAGCATATAATATGTATTCTAGAATTTGATATGTACTGTAGAATTTAATATGTATTATAGCATATAATATGTATTCTAGAATTTGATATGTACTGTAGAATTTGATATGATATATACTTGCTACCAAAAGCATTTGTTCGTTCAATATTAAGAAATAGGATTTATTAAAAAAATCGGAATAATTGTTTTCAAATAAAAAAAATCGGTACACATACAATATAAAGTTTAAATTTCATAAAATTAAACTCATGACTTACTCATGACTTACTCATGACTTTAGCCTTGATAAATTTAAAATAGGGCGAATACTTTTTTTGTAAAAGTATAGAAATTGATATACGTATGTAGTCTTCTAGAATAGCATTCTTATTAGCTTATTAGAGAATACTTAATAGCATACATGAAGTTGCAAAAGTCATTTTAACCTGACATTTTTTTGACTTTAACGAATAATTATTTTGCAGAATGTAACAAAAAATAACCGGAAATAAATTAAACCCTGCATTAATCAAATGACTACGTAACAAACATTTAGCAATTTAAGATTGTGGATCTTTACTATATTATAAAAAAGATGAAAGTTACCATTAAATATTGTCATGCAATGGCTCATATCTTGATATCTATTTGTACATACTTATGCACGTATTGATCCTCTTTTTAAACGATACGTAACTTGAAACTATATATTATATCAATGTTATATTAATGTATATGTTAATATATAATATATAATATATATATATATATATATATATATATATATATATATATATATATACATATAATATATATAATATATATATATTATATATATATATTATATGTATTATATGTATTATATGTATTATATGTATTATATCTATTATATATATTATATATATTATATATATTATATATATTATATATATATATATATATATACATATATATACATATATACATATATATATGTAAAAAAAAAATATTTTTTAAACCAGTAATAAAGATTTCATAATTCATTTTCTTACATGCGTGACAAGCTTCTTGAGCCACATTTCTACTTTTATACAAATTATTCGGTTCGTCAATAGCTATTAATAGCGCGTTTTCCTGTCTGTTTTAGTTTATAAAAAACAAACATTTAATTTGAGCTTTTATGGTTAACTTTGATCGGTCCAAGTATTCCTTGTATAAAACGTAAAATTATATATGTAGGAAGAACTTCATGCCTGGCATAAAATTTCCAGAACATATGGCTTGTTTGTTTGTGTGTCAACACCACTTAAAAATTTTTAAT